CCGGCGCAACATTGTCTTTTCGTGCTTTGAGCCGGACGTGTGCGTCATGCTGCGGGCCAAGCAGACGCGGTACCCGGTCTTCTTTCTCACGTGCGGCACCGACGTACGTCCCTTAGAGTCTTTTCGACGCGATGATCGTGTTGACGTTTTTTGTGCACGGATAGATCACCGGCCAAGTGCCGGATGTCCGAACCGTCTCGCTCGAGACCGCGGTGCCGTTTAGCCGCATGGAGCAGCTCCAGGGGATTGTGACCAACTCGCTGCCGCTGTTTACGAAACCCAAGTGGATCCGCCACATCCGCAACGACCAGCTGCACCTCTGGACGTGGGGCAACCACAACACGGGCCATGACAAGGTGCAGTTTCAAAAAATGCATGGCGTCTCGGGCGTCATCTCGGACAACGTCGGCGACCTCACCAAAGTCGACAAGAAGCTCCGCCCGCGCGATGCCGGCGCCAGCATGAGCTAAGTGCGATCGCTCCTTTTGTATGGCAGCAAGAAACATCCTTTCGTTTCCTCGTCTGTTTTGCGTACTACCTGGTACTGCCGTTTAGGATAGATCCGATGGCCTGGATAGATCCAACGCGATGATCGCGACCTCGCCTTGCGCATCATTGGTGACTGGTTGCGTCCCAGGTGGTACAAGCCACGTGGGTCCACAAGGCCACTTGGTGAACTGTGACGACGGACGCCGCCGACGAAGTCGCAGCAACGTCCGCTGCTCGCGCGTCGGCTGCATGGCCGGTCTATCAATCCTGTGCAACTTGTCTGTCGCTCCATTGGAATGGATTGGAATCGGTTCTCGCCACCGCTAGCATTATGGTTGTCCGTACTTATATCCTGGCGCCCGCACTCGAGATCTTGAGAAGACGGGGAATCTGGGCAGGGTGCAGCAAGTGACAGCCGTAGTACGACCTCGGGCAGCTGGATACGATCGTGCGCTTACACCAGCTCGCAGCAACGCATCGTCTCGTCAAACAGTCGCACAACATTAGGCCCGAGGACGTAAGATCTCGTTGCAGTATGCCAACGCGCCAAGTGTTTCAAACGCGATCGCCAATGCGGCAAGGTACACTATCAATGTATCACCGTATCAAGCAACGGCTACTCGTCCTTCTTGAACATCTTTTTGAACATGCCGCCAATCTTGGACTTGCGGTGCTTCTCGTCGTCGTAGTACATGGAGCTTGCGCTCGACTGGCGCATCTTGGCCTGCGGGTGGGCCCAGTTGGTTGTCGCCGCCGAGCCTTCGCCGATCGAGTAGGCGTCCGAGTGCCGGTCGTCCATCTCCAACTCGTGCCTATACTCCGTCATCGTTGCCACGTGGGTTTCTTCAGAGGAACTCGGTACGTTGTCATGGGTGGCGCGCTGCCGTCAAAGCAAGCGCGGACTTTGGCAAGGACTTCGGGCGATACGCGGGCGTCCCGAAGCACGTGGAGCACGTGCTACATGCGAGTTGACCTCAATCCTTCCCAAAAAAGACTCCAAGGGCGCGTACATCTTGCGTGCTCTCGTCGTGGAGCGTCGATGCTTTCGAGAGCCGGACCTCTTCCTTGAGGTCGTGGACTTGCTTGATGTACTTCTTCATCTTTTCTTCTTGGCTCTTGATGAGCGCCGCGTGCGTGCTCATAAGTCGCAGATTCGCTTTCGATTGCTGCTTGTTGTGCTGGTTGAGCGCTGCAAACGACGCGCCCGCAGCCGTGTAGGCCTCCTTGATGCGCTTGTTTTCCGAGCGAAGCCCCTCGAGCTCATGGGACGCCGACGCGTGGAGGTCGCGCCACTTGGTCACTTGCAGTTGCAGCGTCGAGAGCATGCGGCCCGAGTCGTCCTACGCACATCGCATCAGCCATTCTAATCGCGAAACTTTCGCGAAACAAAGACGCAAATTTTGAAAAACACGAAAACAAAACGAAAAAGCACACGAAAACCACACAAAACAGGCCATTGTACCAAAAGCGAGAGGTCGTCGGCGCTGCCACGTGCGAGCGACGACGGTCGTTGCTCGTCTTGGAGCTGCTGCTGGAGCGTCGAGTTGGCCGCTTCCATTTGCGCACGCATGGCCTTTTCTTCGTCCAAGCGCAGTTGCAGCACGTGCAATTCGTGCTCGATGCTCTGCTGCTTCGCGAGCTCGTCCGCCTCGAGCTTGCGCTTGGCGTCCAGCTTGCGTTGTTTGATTTGGCCTTGGATCGCAAGAACGGCCGCGCGGAGACGCAGGTACGCTTTCTGCGCCTTGTACGTTCGCCAGTTGCGCTGCAAGACGACGGCACTCGTGTACAGCTGGTGCTGACGGAGCGCGGACCGTGCGTGGCGCCCACGCCACAGCGACTGCAAGAGAATGCAGCGACGCCGCACGAGCTGGAACCGGCGGTGGCGCTGGTGACAGCGAAAGTTGGCTTGCAGGCGGACAATGGCCGATCGTACGCGCGTGTACATCTTGCGCACGCGGTACCTACCCGTGATTGCAGTCAGTTGCCCGT